GAGCTGGATCAGAAATGGAGCAGCCGGATCTTGAACCGGCGCCCATATGGGATGCCGGCACTTCAGGCCAGGGTGTTAACCCGCTGTGCCACAGCGCCGGCCCCTACAAGTGCAGAATTCCCACCGTGTGGGTGATCCTGAGCTACCTGAGAAAGGTTGGTTGGGGTGGGCGTCTGAGCTGGCCGTCACGTGGCTGCTTGGGGTGCCAGCGTCCGGGTGAGAGCACCTGGGCGGAGCCCTGGCTCTGCTCCGGACCCCGCTCCCTGCTGGCGCCCACCTGGGGAGGTGGGATGGAGGGCCCCTGCCAACCACACACGTCCCTGAAGTGAGCTGTGGGTCCTGGCTGTCGTGGACACTCGGGGAGTGAAGTAGTGGATGAAGAGCTCTTTAAGAAAGAAAACCAAAAAACACAAACGCAGCAGAAGTAGCGGCTGGCGGTGTGTTGCTGGGATTCTGCGCGCTCTCGGTTTGTGTGGAGAGAGGTGTGGCCCAGCGTGCCTGCCCTCCTCACCCCGCACACGCGTCTCGGGCCTTGGGCAGCACTCTGGTTCCAGCTGGCCCTGCCTGGGCCCGCCCTGGCGCTCTTCCTCCTGGGGCCGGGGCCTGGGGCCTGGGGCCTGGGGCCTGGAGGCTGGACTCAGCTTCTGGTTGGCGGGACCTGGAGCCAGCCCTTGGACCCCGCCCCCGTGGGAGGAGCAGGTGCGCACGGGCCAGGCCTGTGGCCGCCGCTTGTCCTCTTGGACCTGGCCCCCTGTCTGTCCTCACCTCCAGCCTGCTTGTCTCGCCCATCTTCTGGAGAGAAGGCCCATGCCTGCGGCTCGAGTCCATGCCGTTGCCACACGCTGAGGTCGGGGCACGGGTCAGGGCTCGGGCTGAGTCACAGGTGCAGTCAGTGACTGCTCATTTATGGGGAAGGCCTGGGCGGCGTTTGTGTCGCTGGGAAAAGGCCTGTGCGGAAGTGAGGAGGAGGAGGGTGCTGGGGACCCTGAACTGCACCCCAGGAAGCCCCCCCCCCCGTTGTCCTCCCTGTCACCAGCCTGCCGCAGCCCCCTGATGCTTGGAGCTCCCGCACAGGGTCTGTGGGGTGCTGGTCTGGGCTTTGCTCAGGGGTCCCAGGCTGAGGCTGTGGGTGTGGGGCTCCCGTTCTTGACCTCTGGCCACAGGTGCACGGAGGGAGAGGGAGGTCTCTGCTGGGGGTGCTGTGGGTCAGCAGGCGCTGCTGCAGAGAGCCTGCAGAGCTGGTGCAGGCACGGGGCGGGCTGAGGGGGTCTCCCGGGGTCCACAGCTGGCCAGCTCCCTCAAGCTTCAGTCCCCCTGCTGAAGGGTGGGCACGGAGCCACCATGAGCCGTGGCACTCATCTGGCCCCTTAGAGTCCTTGTGCCGACCCGTGCTGGCACAGGGGAGCCCTCTTTCCTGGTTGATGCATGGGGCAGCCGAGGCCTGGGGAAGGGAGGTGGCTTGCAGGGCTGTGGCGGAGCGAGGTCTGGGCCCACAGCACCAGAGCCCACGTGCCCCTGCCCCGCAGCGCTGCCTGGCTGGCGTCTGTGCGTCGGATCATGCTGGGGAGGAAGGTCAGCTCTGGGGCCCTGTAGGCCAGGGCTCTGCCCGTCCCGCCTGCGTGGCCTGTTCTCCGCCCGTCCCGCCTGCGTGGCCCAGGGCTCTTCCCGTCCCGCCTGCGTGGCCCAGGGCTCTGCCTGTCCCGCCTGCGTGGCCTGTTCTCTGCCTGTCCCGCCTGCGTGCCCTGGGCTCTGCCTGTCCCACTTCCATGGCCCGGGAGCCAAGTCTTGGGGAGCACCTGTGGCCTGTGCAGCCCTCATTGCCCTTGAACCCTCCCCATTACCCAGTGAAGAGGCTGTCTGCTCCCATTCTCCAGGTGAGGAGACTGAGGCACAGAGCAGGTCACGCCCAGGTGCTGCAGAGCCGGAGGCAGAGCCCCACAGCCCCCCCACCCTGACTGCGCCCCAGCCCCCTCTGACCCTGACTGTACCCCCCTGCCCCTGACTGCACCCCAGCCCCCCACCCTGACTGTACCCCAGCCCCCTCTGACCCTGACTGCACCCCAGCCCCCTACTTTGCCCCCCACCCTGACTGCCCCTGCCTGTCTGGGGAGCGCAGGGCCCCAGGCTCTGCTCTGAGCTGGACGTGAGCGCTGGGCGCAGGACTGAAGTGCTGCTGAGTTCGGCTGTGTCCCACGTGGCAGCCTGGGCGGCAGTCCTGGCCGCGCTTCAGTCCTGACTTCCTGCTCTGTGCAGCCTTGGAGGCAGCAGGCGACACACAGCTCCGGTGTTGGGGTCCCTGCCACGTGTGGGACCCCTGGGTTGAGTTACTGGCTCCTGGCTTTGGGCTGACCCAGTGCAGGCCGCTGAGGACATTTGTGGAGGGAACTGGTAGATGGGAGATCTCTCACTGACTGTTTCTGTGTCTCTATTTTTCAGATAAACAATTAGAGAAGGAAATTGGGGGACTGGCCTTGTGACGTGGCTGGTAAAGCTGCTGTCTGCAATGCTGCACCCTTTGTGGGCGCCGGTTCAAGTCCGGGCTGGTCCACTTCCCATCCAGCTCCCTGCGAACGGCTTGGGAAAAGCACTGGAAAGCGGCCCAGTGCTTGGGCCTTGTCACCTGCGTGGGTGAAGCTCCTGGCCTCGCCCTGGCCCAGCCCCAGCTGGTGTTGCCATCTGGGGAGGGAACCAGTGGATGGAAGGTCCTTTGTAAATTTTATTTTTTTTTTAAGATTTATTTATTTGAAAGAGTTACACAAAGAAAGGAGAGGCAGAGAGAGAGAGAGGTCTTCCATCTGTTGGTTCACTCCCCAGTTGGCCACAATGACCGAAGTTGCGCTGATCTGAAGCCAGGAGCCAAGAGCTTCTTCCAGGTCTCCCATGCGGGTGCAGAGCCCCAAGGACTTGGGCCATCCTCCGCTGCTTTTCCAGGCCACAGCAGAGAGCTGGAGCAGCCGGACTTGAACCAACGCCGGCACTGCAGGCAGTGGCTTTACCTGCTATGCTACAGCGCCAGCTTCTGTCTCTCTAACTCTGACTTTCAAGTAAAAAACATCTTTAAAGGAAAAAAAAAAAGAACACATAGGGGGTCAGGAACCTGGCCCACAGGCCAGATCCCAGCCACCTGGGGGACACAGCCAGGGCCGCCCTCTGCTGCCGAGTGCTCAGAGCGGCGAGCAGACGCCTGAAACCGACCTACTGCCCCGGCCTGTGCGGGAAGCCCGCTGACCCTGGCTTAAACTAGTTCACTCTGACACAGCAGGACGTCCTTCTTTCGTTGTCTTTTTTTAAAGTTTGTTTTGATTTATTTGAGTGGCAGAGAGAGATCTTCCATCCCCAGTTGGCTTCCCACATGCCTGCAGTAGTTGGGGCTGGGCAGGCCAAGCCGGGAGCTCGTTCTGGTCTCCCCGTGGGTGCCCGGGTCACCACTGCAGTCTCCCAGGCCCTGTTCGCAGGGAGCTGGCGTCGGGCGCGGAGCTGGGCCTTGAACCGTGCGCGCTGCATGCGTGCGGCTGTGCTAACCGGCAGCCTGACCGGGACCAGACGCCTGCTGCTGCTCCCGTCTCCCTTTGTTTCGGTGGCTGAGTGTGAGTTTGCCCGTTTCACTGGGGAAGCCTGTTTGGTTCACAGCCCTAAAATCCGGCGAGCTCGGGAAATGGAAAATTTTCTGTGACGCGTGTGGCGCAGAGCCTACGTGGACGGGGGCGAGGTCCCCGTGCGTCATGGCTGCTGCCGTACTCCTGCTCAAGGGCTCGCTTAGGTGAGGGGTGTGAGCGCTGCTGGTGCGCACTTGGGCGGCCTGGGCGCGGTGCTGGGCGGCTTCCTCTGCGGCCTGGGGATGCGTGCCGGTGCTCTCCTGCCCTCTCCACCTGGAGGGCCGGCTGGGCTCTGCTCCCTGACGACTCTCCCTGGACCCCTGACCAGGTCGGTGCACTGGCGCCTGCTGCCTCTTGCTGGCCTCTGCTCCGCTTGAGGGCGTGGCGGCTCTGGGAGCCCCAGAGGCCCCTGCAGCATCCAGGCCCCAGTGCAGCCTGGGAGAGCTGGGGCCCTGGCCTGCTCTGTGCATGGGGCTTGAGCCCAGGTCAGGAGGAGTGACAGAACCCCTGCTGAGTGGTGTGTTCCCCTGCACTGCCTTGGTTAGGAGGGAGCTGTCCCCACGTCATGGACACAGAAGGCGGCAGCAGCGCTCCTGGGACCCGCCCACCACCTGCCCCATGCTCTGTGTCCACGTGTCCTGTCCTGGGCCAACGCCGGGCCTGGCTCCTGCTCCTGACCCCCTGCCCTGGGCTGACGCCAGGCCTGGCTCCTGCTCCTGACCCTGTGCTCTGTGTCTGCACATCTGTCCCTGGGCCGACGCCAGGCCTGGCTCCTGCTCTTGACCCTGCGATCTGTGTCTGTGTGTCTGTCCCTGGCTGACGCCGGGCCTGGCTCCTGCTCCTGACCCTGCGATCTGTGTCTGCACGTCCGTCCCTGGCCGACGCTGGGCCTGGCTCCTGCTCTTGGCCATGGTTCCCAGGATCTCCCTACCCCCCACTCCCCACCCGCCCTGTGCTCTGTGTCCGTGCGTCCATCCCTGGCCGACGCCGGGCCTGGCTCCTGCTCCTGACCCCGTGCTCTGTGTCTGTGCGTCTGTCCCTGGCTAACGCCGGGCCTGGCTCCTGCTCCTGGCGGCAGCTGTCCACCTCGGTGGTGTCAGTTCCCTCGTCAGTGTGCGGTGTCACGTTCAGCAGTGAAGCCCCGTGTCGGAGTCCTAGGACAGCAGACGGCAGCCTGAGGTGCTCTCCCGCGCGGTGTAACTCCGGGAGCAGTGGACTGTGGCTCTGTGCCCGCGTGAGGCCCAGGCGCCGTCTCTTCTTGGTTACTTGGATCGTGGCGGCGCTCGGTCCTCGGCGTCGTTCTGGGCGCAGAGCCGGAGGGGACCGCCCCACACACACGTCTGGAGCCGGGTGCCGTGAGTGTGCGCGTGGTCTCAGGGCTGTCCCCGCATCTGCCCGCTGCAGGCCATGACGCTGATGGAGTACCTCATCAAGACGGGCTCGGAGCGCGTGTCGCAGCAGTGCAAGGAGAACATGTACGCCGTGCAGACGCTGAAGGACTTCCAGTACGTGGACCGCGACGGCAAGGACCAGGGCGTGAACGTGCGCGAGAAGGCCAAGCAGCTGGTGGCCCTGCTGCGGGACGAGGACCGCCTGCGGGAGGAGCGCGCCCACGCGCTCAAGACCAAGGAGAAGCTGGCGCAGACCGCCACGGGTGAGGCCCCCGCAGCGTGGACCGCGCCTCCTCACCTGCACCCTGTGCCTGCCCTTCCCCGGGACCTGCCCCGCAGCGCTGCGCCCCCTCGTGCCTCTTGGCTCACGCTGCGGGCCCTGGAATCGAGGGTTCCTTCTGATCCCACACATGCTAGCCGGACGCCGCCTCACTGCTGGGGTGTAGGCCCCAAGCGCGGTCCCGTCCGAGAGTGCCCAGTGCCCTGGCCTAGGGCTCCTCAGGTGTGGGCTCAGGGGGCGCGGGAGAGCGTGGCCTGGGCAGGCGCAGAAGGAAGGCAGGGCTGGGGCGCAGGGGCCCCAGAGTCACAGCCCCCAAGGCCTCTGGGTCTCTTTTTGTCTTGTTGTTTGAGTTGTTTGGGAGTGAGCGAGAAGAGCTCCAGTGGCCCATGCACTCAGTGACTGGGGCCCAGCAGCCGGGACCTCACCAGGCATCCACGCGAGGGCCTCAGGGAGGAGTGGTAGCAGCTGGAGACGCCAAGCAGAGGCTGCCTCTCTGGCTTCGCTGGCGTGGGCTGGTCCAGGCCCCTGGAGCCCTGCCGTGGCTCTGCAGGCTGGGTTCTCGATTCCCCACAGTCTGACACTCTCTTTCCTTCAGTTGGTAGGCCAGCCCTGGCCTAGGACAGGCTGTGTGGAGGGGCTGGGGGAAGAGTGGGGCTGTTAAGGGCCTGCAGGCCTGAGCCCGAGGAGCACCAAGGTTGGTGTTGTGGTCACAGCAGGCTCCGCTGTGGTCACGGGCAGGCCCCGCCGCCGCCTCCTGCGACTGCCTTGGTGCCTTTGTCAGCTGACATGTCGGGCGGGGCTTGGAGGTTTAAGGGTAGAGAGTAAGAGAGGGCCACAGATGCCCCCTGGAGCTGCTTGTGCAGCCGGCCCTGCAGGGACACTCACTGTTCTGGCCTGAGAGGTCCCCGCCAGGGACAGGAGCCGGAGCCTAGGTGCGCGGTGTCAGCCGAGCTGACGCACCTTGCCCGTGGCGGGGGGAAGTGGGGAGGGCAGGGTCCACTCTGGGCTGGCAGCAGGGCATGGGGCAGAGTGGGGGTTGGTGAGGCGCTGGCTGTGGAGGCGGAGGCGTCCCAGCCTGGCCACAGTCCATGCTCGTGTCCTGGCTCCCTTTCTCTTCCTCTCCCTGGAACCCACTGCCCTGCCCAGCCAGGCCCGGGACCCCGCCGTCTGCGGGACACCCCCTCCGGAGCTCCAGCTTTCCCTGCTGGAGGCCCTGGACTGTGGCAGCCCCAGCCAGGGCCCGGGGGCACCGCTGTCAGCAGATGCCCAGCCCTGGACCCTGCCCGTCCGCCTTGGTCTCCCTGGCCCTTGTCCCATCTCTGCCTCTGGAGGCCTGGGGTGTGGGCACGGAGGGGCTTGGAAACGGAAGCCCTGTCTGGGTCCTCGGTCTCACCCTGTCCCCCTCCCCAGCCTCCTCTGCAGCTGTGGGCTCCGGGCCCCCGCCCGAGGCTGAGCAGGCCTGGCCGCAGAGCAGCGGGGAGGAGGAGCTACAGCTCCAGCTGGCCCTGGCCATGAGCAAGGAGGAGGCCGACCAGGTACGGGCGCCACCGCATCACGGCGGCTGCGCGTGCGCCTTCTGTCCTGCCGTCCTGTCTCATACCATCACCGCCCCTGCCCGCCTCTCTCTGCCCTCTCCCTGCTGCTTCTGCAGGTCGACTCCCAGGCCTGGTCCTGCTCTCGTCCCTCCTCCTCCCGTGGGAGCCTGGCCTGCCCCGCCCCGCCCCAGGCTCGGGGCCTTGCTCTCCCTCTGCCTGTTGGCCAGCTCTGTCTGCGGCCCCGCCCGGCCCTCACTCTCTCTCTCCCCAGCCCCCATCCTGCGGCCCCGAGGACGACGTCCAGCTCCAGTTGGCCCTTAGTTTGAGCCGAGAGGAGCACGACAAGGTCAGAGCAGCCTCCCCGCCCTTCCCGGCCCCCAGGACCCTCCCTCAGCCCCAGCCCTCGGTGCCCACGGGCAGCCCTCAGCACCTTAGCCGCAGGAGCCTGTGGACGCCGGGAGAGGGGCTGTCCACCTGCCCCGCTTGCCACGGCTGCTCCGCCTCAGCGGGGCCAGGCAGGGCGCCCCTCGGGGCTCCACCCCCCGGCCTGCCCTCTCCCTCGCGTCTCACCCCTTCCATACATCGTGCCGACCCCGTGTCAGTGTGTCGGGGCGGGAGGCGGGGGCTGGGCGGCCGTGCCTGCTGCGCGCCGGCTGACGTCCTGGCTGGTGGTGGCTGCGCCCTTGCAGGAGGAGCGGATCCGGCGCGGGGACGACCTGAGGCTGCAGATGGCGATTGAGGAGAGCAAGCGGGAGACGGCGGGCCAGGAGGAGGTGAGTGGGAGGCGCCCTGCCCGCTTCCCGGTGCCTCTGTGGTCAGTGGGAGCGCATTGTTCTCCTTGGGGCTTGGAGCCCGGCCAAGCGAAGTGAGGGAGGGTGTGGCCCCACCAGGCGTCGGGGGAAGGGTGCAGGGGCTCCCTGTCCTCTCACCTTCTTGGGCTCCTGCCGTCCGGGAGCAGGACAGGTGGGGCCCCGCCCCCAGTCTCCTTTCTGCCCTTGGTGTGTCCTTGGCGCATCTGGGCTGTGTGGGTGTGCAGCAGACCTCCCCAGAGCTCACTCCCTGCCGGCTCTGTCACGTTTCAGCTCTGTGACTGGCAGTTCAGTCTGAGGGCACACCGTGTGGCTTCATGCTCCGGCCCCCCCACCGCTTCTCCATCTCCTCTCTGTGCTGACCCAGTGGACACCCCCCACTGCCTTCCCCGTCTCCTCTCTGTGCTGACCCAGTGGACATCCCCAGCGCCTTCCCCATCTCATCTCTGTGCCGACCCAGTGGACACCCCCCAGCGCCTTCCCCGTCTCATCTCTGTGCTGACCCAGTGGGCGCCAGTGCTGCCCTGTGTGGGCCACCCTCCCACCTTCCCCGTCTCATCTCTGTGCTGACCCAGTGGACACCCCCCAGCGCCTTCCCCGTCTCATCTCTGCTGACCCAGTGGACACCCCGCAGCGCCTTCCCCGTCTCCTCTCTGTGCTGACCCAGTGGACACCCCCTAATGCCTTCCCTGTCTCATCTCTGTGCTGACCCAGTGGGCGCCAGCGCCTTCCCCATCTCATCTCTGTGCCGACCCAGTGGACACCCCCGAGCGCCTTCCCCATCTCCTCTCTGTGCCGACCCAGTGGACATCCCCCTACTGCCTTCCCTGTCTCATCTCTGTGCTGACCCAGTGGACATCCCCCAGCGCCTTCCCCATCTCATCTCTGTGCCGACCCAGTGGACACCCCCCTACTGCCTTCCCTGTCTCATCTCTGTGCTGACCCAGTGGACATCCCCCAGCGCCTTCCCTGTCTCATCTCTGCTGACCCAGTGGACACCCCGCAGCGCCTTCCCCGTCTCCTCTCTGTGCTGACCCAGTGGACACCCCCTAATGCCTTCCCTGTCTCATCTCTGTGCTGACCCAGTGGGCGCCAGCGCCTTCCCCATCTCATCTCTGTGCCGACCCAGTGGACACCCCCCCACCTTCCCCGTCTCATCTCTGTGCTGACCCAGTGGGCGCCAGCGCTGCCCTGTGTGGGCCACCCCCTCACCTTCCCCATCTCATCTCTGTGCCGACCCAGTGGACACCCCCGAGCGCCTTCCCCATCTCCTCTCTGTGCCGACCCAGTGGACATCCCCCTACTGCCTTCCCTGTCTCATCTCTGTGCTGACCCAGTGGACATCCCCCAGCGCCTTCCCCATCTCATCTCTGTGCCGACCCAGTGGACACCCCCCTACTGCCTTCCCTGTCTCATCTCTGTGCTGACCCAGTGGACACCCCCCAGCGCCTTCCCCATCTCTGTGCTGACCCAGTGGACACTCCCCACTGCTTTCCCCGTCTCCACTCTGTGCCAACTCAGTGGGCGCCAGCGCTGCCCTATGTGGGCCACCCCCCACCTTCCCCGTCTCATCTCTGCTGACCCAGTGGACACCCCCCAGCGCCTTCCCTGTCTCATCTCTGTGCTGACCCAGTGGACACCCCCCAGCGCCTTCCCCGTCTCATCTCTGTGCCGACCCAGTGGACACCCCCCAGCGCCTTCCCCGTCTAATCTCTGTGCTGACCCAGTGGACACCCCCCACCTTCCCTGTCTCATCTCTGTGCTGACCCAGTGGACACCCCCCCACCTTCCCCGTCTCATCTCTGTGCTGACCCAGTGGGCGCCAGCGCTGCCCTGTGTGGGCTACCCCCTCACCTTCCCCATCTCATCTCTGTGCTGACCCAGTGGACACCCCCCAGCTCTTCCCCGTCTCATCTCTGTGCCGACCCAGTGGACACCCCCCAGCGCCTTCCCCGTCTCATCTCTGTGCTGACCCAGTGGACACCCCCCAGCGCCTTCCCCGTCTCATCTCTGTGCTGACCCAGTGGACACCCCCCACCTTCCCCGTCTCCTCTCTGTGCTGACCCAGTGGACACCCCCCAGCGCCTTCCCCGTCTCCTCTCTGTGCTGACCCAGTGGACACTCCCCACCTTCCCTGTCTCATCTCTGTGCTGACCCAGTGGACACCCCCCCACCTTCCCCGTCTCATCTCTGTGCTGACCCAGTGGGCGCCAGCGCTGCCCTGTGTGGGCCACCCCCTCACCTTCCCCATCTCATCTCTGTGCTGACCCAGTGGACACCCCCCAGCGCCTTCCCCGTCTCATCTCTGTGCTGACCCAGTGGGTGCCAGTGCCGCCCTGTGGGAAAGGCTGGGAGCTGGCCTGGCCTTGCTACCTGCTGCTGTTCAGAGCAGGTTGTGGGAACGGCCCCTACTTGGAGGGGTGGGGGTGGGGCTCCCTCCCCGGAATGGGCAGTGGGTAGATTGTCATGGGCCATGGGACCCCCTGTGGCTCTTTTGACAGGTGGAAAGGCCTGCCTAGGCCGGTGTTAGCCGGAAGGTTCTCGGACCAGGGCAGAACGGTGGGGAGTGAGATGGTGGTGCCCACCTTGCCTGCCTCCATTGGGTGCCCTGGGACAAGACTCAGTTCCTCTCTCCTCTTGGGGCCCTTTGTGGGTGTGGGTGTTGGGGGGAATTCCACTCCAGGGGAAAGGGACTCTGGTCAGCTGGGCCCAGTCCTGTGCTCACCCCCAGAACTTGGGTGCTGCTTGAGTGAGTGTGTGTGTGTGTACATGTCCTGTCCTGTGTGCACTGCAGAGCTGGGGCGCACGTGTGTGTGTGTGTGTGTGTGTACTGCAGAGCTGGGGTGTCTGTGTGTGCACTGCAGAGCTGGGGTGTGTGTGCACTGCAGAGCTGGTGTGTGTGTGTGTGTGTACTGCAGAGCTGGGGTGTGTCTGTGTGTGTGTGTGTGCAGAGCTGGGGCATTTGTATGTGTGTGTACTGCAGAGCTGGGGTGTCTGTGTGTGTGTGTGTGCAGAGCTGGGGTGTGTGTGTGTGCAGAGCTGGGGTGTCTGTGTGTGTGTGCACTGCAGAGCTGGGGCGTGTGTGTGTGTGTGCACTGCAGAGCTGGGGCGTCTGTGTGTCTGTGTGTGTGTGCACTGCAGAGCTGGGGCGTGTGTGTGTGTGTGCACTGCAGAGCTGGGGCGTCTGTGTGTGCACTGCAGAGCTGGTGTGTGTGTGTGTGTGTGCGCACTGCAGAGCTGGGGCGTCTGTGTGTCTGTGTGTGTGTGCACTGCAGAGCTGGGGCGTGTGTGTGCACTGCAGAGCTGGGGCGTCTGTGTGTGTGTGCACTGCAGAGCTGGGGCGTCTGTGTGTGTGTGCACTGCAGAGCTGGGGCGTGTGTGTGTGTGTGCGCACTGCAGAGCTGGGGCGTCTGTGTGTGTGCACTGCAGAGCTGGGGCATCTGTGTGTGTGTGTGTGCACTGCAGAGCTGGGGCGTCTGTGTGTGTGTGCACTGCAGAGCTGGGGCGTGTGTGTGTGTGTGCACTGCAGAGCTGGGGCGTCTGTGTGTGTGCACTGCAGAGCTGGGGTGTGTGTGTGTGTGTGTGTGTGTGCAGAGCTGGGGCGTGTGTGTGTGTGCGCAGAGCTGGGGTGTGTGTGTGTGCACTGCAGAGCTGGGGCGTGTGTGTGTGTGTGTGTGTGTGTGCACGGCCTGTCCTGTGTGTGTGTGCACTGCAGAGCTGGGGCATGTGTGTGTGCACTGCAGAGCTGGGGCATCTGTGTGTCTGTGTGTGTGTGCACTGCAGAGCTGGGGCGTCTGTGTGTCTGTGCACTGCAGAGCTGGGGCGTGTGTGTGTGTGTGCAGAGCTGGGGCGTCTGTGTGTGTGTGCACTGCAGAGCTGGGGCGTCTGTGTGTGTGTGTGTGCACTGCAGAGCTGGGGCGTGTGTGTGTGTGTGTGTGTGTGTGTGCACGGCCTGTCCTGTGTGTGTGTGCCGAGTGGGCAGTAGGGAGGTGGATGGAAGGAGGCATCCAGTTCCATGGGTTGGGGGGACCACCTAGTTCCTTGGGGGGGCAGAGGTGAGCAGATGGGGGATGCTTAAGGTGGGGGCCGCGCAGGTGTCTGCAGGGCTGGCTCGGGCCCTCTCCGTCATCCTGCCCCGGCTCCAGCCAGGGCTGGCTGGGACTTGGGGGCGTCTCTCTCCCGTGCCCTCACGCTCCCCTCTGTCTCCTGCTGTAGTCGTCCCTCATGGATCTCGCTGACGTCTTCACAGCCCCAGCGCCTCCACCGGCCTCTGACCCCTGGGGGGGCCCAGCACCCATGGCTACCGCCATGCCCACGGCTGCCCCCGCCTCGGACCCGTGGGGGGGACCCGCTGTCCCTCCAGCTGCTGATCCCTGGGGCGGCCCAGCCCCCACGCCGGCTGCTGGGGACCCCTGGAGGCCTGCTGCCCCCGCAGGGCCCTCTGTGGACCCTTGGGGAGGGAGCTCGGCCCCCGCAGCTGGAGAGGGGCCCACACCTGACCCGTGGGGAAGCTCTGATGGTGAGTTCCCGACGCCCGTGTGCCAGGCGGGGGGTGGTGCCCTGGGTGCCCTGGGGTGGGGCTCAGGAGAGGGCATGGGATGGGGACCTGTAGGGAGACACTGCTCAGCCGTGGGGCGGAGAGGTCAAGCCAGAGCCTTGTGAGGGGCGGTGGAGCACAGCGGGCCAGGGGCCCTGCTGGGTGAGGGGCGGGGAGAGGTGCAGCAGCGGGACCTGGTGAGGGGCGGTGGAGCCCAGCGGGCTAGGCGCCCTGCTGGGTGAGGGGCGGGGAGAGGTGCAGCAGCGGGGCCTTGTGTGTGAGAGCCCGGGGCTGGGGAAGGCTCCTGGGGAGAAGACGAGCACCTGGAGGTGGGCCTCGGGAGGTCTTGGGTCTGAGTGGCAGGCGAGGGTGCTAGCCCTGCTGTGCCTCCGTGGTCACCCAGGAGGGGCCTCGCTCAGTGGACCCCCGGCCTCTGACCCCTGGGCACCGGCTCCAGCCTTCTCAGACCCCTGGGGGGGCTCCCCTGCCAAGCCGAGCACCAACGGCACTGCAGGTACGAGGTGGCTCCGGGCCTGGGGGTGGGGGTGAGAGTGGCCGTCCCGGGTCCTGAGGCACAGACGCGGGAAGGAGATGGGGGTCGGAGGAGGGCAGGTGCTAAGTGGAGCCTCCCGCCCCTGCCACCCCCACAGCAGCTGGGGGCTTTGACCCAGAGCTCGATGAGTTCTCTGACTTCGACCGGCTCCGCACGGCCCTGCCAACCTCTGGGAGCAGCACAGGTGAGCCCCCTGCCCCCTCAGTGCAGCCTTCGGGCCGGATGTGAGGGTGAAGCGTTCGGTGGACGGAGCCATCCGTGCGTCTGTCTGTCTTGTGTGTGAGGCAGGTGGATGGAGATCCCACACCCGTTGGTTCACTCCCCAAACGCCCGCAGCGGCTGGGGCTGGGCCAGGCTGAAACCAGGGCCCGGAGCGGCACCCAGGTCCCACCAGGCGGCAGCGCCAGCTCCAGTCATCCCTGCCGCGCCCCAGGCTGTGCACTGGCAGGAAGCTGGGTTTTAAGTGGCGCCTTAGCCGCTGCCCCACCTGCAGTGGGCAGAGAAGAGCGGCTTTGTTTTGAGTAATCGTGTATTCAGAGAAAGCGTCTAGAAGTGGCACAGAGAATTGTCCTTTTGAGATTTCCCCCTTGAAGGCCGGCCTCTGACGACCAGAGTCTGGGGGGCGGCCCCAGCAGGCGTCCTGCTGGCTACAGGGCCTGGCCGTGCGGGCGGCTGGGTAGCCCCCCGGCTCTGCAGGCTGCCCCTCTCTTGGCAGTGACCTGTTGGGGAGTGGGTGGGAACCCCACTTCAGAGAGTCTTAGGAGGCTGTTGTCAGCGCCTGTTGGAGCTGAGCACCCGTGTCCAGGCCCACGCGGTGCACAGGAGCTCGGGGCAGGGCAAGCGCCTGGCAGTGCTGCCCGGCACGCTGCCCGAGGGGCGACCGGGCCGACTTCCGGCCTGCCGTACTTCGCCGTCCCGGCCCTGCCCGGCGCGGATCCGTGGGGGTTCTCAGGTGCAGTCTGCAGCTGTCGCCACACCCCCCTGTTGCTCTGCATGGAGGGGCCTCCTGGGCCGTGAGCAGCCCCCGCTTTCCCTGCTGGGTGCAGACGGCCCAGGGTTCCCCCAGACAGGCTGCTGCGGGGTGTAGATAGGGCCCTGGCGTCAGAGCCACCCCACTGAGTCTAGGCCTTGCCTGAAGGCCACCCCTGCCCCTCAGGGCCTCCCCCAGTGCTCTTGGCCCAGCGGCCCCTCAGCCGCACCCTCTGTCTCCCCTCTGCTCCCCTGCTGTAGTCTCCCTCTGAGCCCCTCTTCTGGTTCCTTCCAGGCGAGTTGGAGCTGCTGGCAGGAGAGGTGCCCGCCCGCAGCCCTGGGGCATTCGACTTGACTGGGGTCGGGGGGTCTCTGGCTGAGGCTGTGGGGAGCCCCCCGCCTGCAGCCACCCCCACCCCCACGCCCCCCACACGGAAGACACCGGAGTCATTCCTGGGGCCTAATGCAGCCCTGGTGGACCTGGACTCGCTGGTGAGCCGGCCAGGCCCCACACCGCCAGGAGCCAAGGCCTCCAACCCCTTCCTGCCAAGCGGTGAGTGTGGCTCATGCCCTGGGTGCTCCCTGTGGGTGCTCCCTGTGGGTCCCGCCGGAGCAGGTGCCTTGTGGGGCTGGGAGGAGACAGGCTGGGCAGGCCAGCGCCTGCTGACCCCTGACCCCTGTGCTGTGTTCTGTCCTTTCTGTCCTGCAGGAGCCCCCGCTGCCGGCCCCTCCGTCACCAACCCCTTCCAGCCAGCGCCCCCTGCGACGCTCACCCTGAACCAGCTCCGCCTCAGCCCTGGGCCCCCGCTCCCTGGGGCACCACCCACCTACATCTCTCCCCTTGGTGGGGGCCCCGGCCTACCGCCCATGATGCCCCCGGGCCCGCCGGCCCCCAACACTAACCCGTTCCTCCTATAATCCAGGGCAGGCCCCCCATCTGCTCCCTGGGAGATCAGTGTTGTGAGTGCATGTGACACGGGGGACCCCCACCCCAGAGCCCTCCCCCTCCTGGGGCCCACTCACACTACACTCTCTTCCTGCATCCCCCAGCCCATCTCCCCCGGCGAGAAACTGGACATGAGGGGGAGGGGCAGGGGCGCTGGCTAGAGGAGGACCCCTTTCCCGTGGCATTAGAAGGGGGAGGGATAGCTGGGGTCCCCCCCACTCCCCTCCCTCCCAAATCCAGCCCCCCAATCAGTGTTTGAGCCTCCCCGTCCCCTCTGCACCCCTCGGTGAACCCTTGGTGATGATTTTGGCAACTTGGGGAATAAACGACGATTCTCGCGGGTGTGGCTCCCGGAATTCCCATGCAGGACTCGTGTGTCCCTCCGGGCCCGGGATGGCATCCAGTGTGCCCCTGGGTGGCAGCTGCTCGTCCTCAGAGACAGGTGTCCCTGAGCCTTCCAGCTCCTGGGGTGGGAGAGGGCTGAGGCCTGCAGAGTTGCAGCCACCCACCCCTCATCAGGCCCCACCGGCCCCACCCAGGGGAGCCGATGGGGTTCAGACGCCTGAGACGGATGGGCTGAGGTCACATCTGGGGAGCGCCATCCTGAGGGAAGCCTTGGTCACCCAGTGAGGCACACGGCGTGGTGTGGCAGTCTCCAGCCCTGGGGGCCAGCCGTGCCCAGTACAGCCCACAGGTGCTCTGGCCACGCGTAGGTGAGGTCCTGCGCTGATTGCTCAGACTGGGAGAGGGGGAGGTGGTGCCATCCCGGGGGCTCTTGGCATGGTCGCGGAGGCACCCAGGCCAGCTGGTGGAGGAGGAGGACGTGACCCTTAGGATGGTGAGGGCCGGGTCCCCCCGATGGGCAGGGCTGGCACCACAGCACCACGGGTGTGTATGACACCCTGGACAGCCCTGGGATACCCCAGTGGCTCATATGGGGTGCAGAGTGAACGAGTGTCTAGGGACAGAGTTCCAGGCTGTTGGTGTCAGGGCCGGTTTGAGGCCCGGCTCAGAAACCCGCCCTCCTGCAGACCAGGGTGTCGAGGGGGTTGTGCGGGGCCAGCTGATGGGTTCTGGAGCTCCACCTGGGGTGGCTGCCTCAGGATGCAGCCCCTGGAGGCCACGGTCACCTGGGAGGGCAGCCCCCTTTCTCCTGGAGGAAGTGGGAGGGCTGCCGTCCCTGCCCGGCGCAGGGGGGCGGGGGCGGGGCCGGCCCTCCGGGGTGCCTGTGTCTTCCACAGAGGAGTGAAGCCTTTGCTGAGGGGGGGGGCAGTAGTGTAACCATCTGCGCCTGCCGGGCTGGGGAGGGGTGGGGGGTGTGGGGCCCCGTCCTCCCCACCCCCGTCCTGCCGCAGCAGAGCAGGACGTCCCAAGAAGCAGCAGCCCTGCAGCCGGGAGGGCGTGTCTGGAGGACTCAGCCACAGCACTCTCCCCGGGCTTACTCTGCCACAGCGCCCTGGCCACCAGTTCTCAGCAGGGGCTGTGGGGGTAGGGAGGCCCCTTGGAGGCCTGAGTCGTCGTGGGTGTGGATGGCCGCCTCCCTGCGCGGAGCACACGTGCTCTCCCTGGGCCGTGTGTGTGCCTGCACGATGGTCATGGAATCTGCCCACACGCAAGCTGCGGTTTTGAGTGTGTGGCCTGGAGCTTGGTTGAACCGGGAGGTGTGGCTGTGGCCTGGGGGGTCCCCCTCCGGCCGGTGCGCGTCTCATCTTGGGTGGGGGTTTGGCTGTGGAAGGAAGACCTCGTCCAGGTCGCAGGAGGTGGGGAGACCGTGACTCGGTCTCACGGTGGCGGGTAAGTGGGATGTACACCTGAGGAGCAGGTGGGGCCCTGGCGTGAGGATGGCGTCACCGGGGGCAGAGGCTGAGCAGTGGGATTGGATCAGGGGTTCCTGGTCAACTCCGCTCTCCCCGGAAATGCAGGGGTGGGCCTGGGAGGGTGGAGCTTAGCAGGGAAATGCAGGGGTGGGCCTGGGAGGGTGGAGCTTAGCAGGGAAATGCAGGGGTGGGCCTGGGAGGGTGGAGCTTAGCAGAGAATTGTGTCCTCCCCAGGGGACGAGTGGCTCTGGTCACGCTGGAGGGGGGTGTGGGGGTTTCTGGCCTGGCTGGAGAAGGGGTGTGGGGGTCATTTGTCGTGCTGGTGGGGGTGTGTGAGGTGTCTGGAGGGGGTGTGGGGTGTCTCTGGAGGGGGTGTGGGGTGTCTGGAGAAGGGGTGTGGGTGTCTCTGGAGGGGGTGTGGGGTGTCTGGAGGGGGTGTGGGGTGTCTGGAGGGGGGTGTGGGGTGTCTGGGGGGATGTGGGGTGTCTGGAGGGGGTGTGGGGTGTCTGGAGGGGGTGTGGGGTGTCTGGAGGGGGTGTGGGTGTCTCTGGAGGGGGTTGTGGGGGTCTCTGGCCCAGCAGCTTTGTTCTCTGCCCACTGCTGGGCTCTCCTGTGGTGTGGATGCGATGCTGGGGACCCGACAATCCCCGGTTCTATGGGTTTGTCCCCAGCAGGAGGCAGTAGAGGGGGGGGGCTCTGGCCAGACAGAAGCTGTTGCCCGGGAGCTGGGACTCTGCACAGGGCAGGAGGGGTTTGCCCCTCGCTGCCCAGCGCTTGGAAGTCGGGTCCCTGCGGCTGCGGCGTTTGTGAGGCCTGGTTCGCCCACCGCTGGGCTCTGTGCTCTGGTTGTACGGAGCGTGTGTGAACTAGGAGGCTTACGGGGCGGTGAGCTTCACAGCCTCAGGAAGAGGCTCGCTGGCCCCTCAGCTCCCCTCACCCCAACGCCTGGCCCCGCCGCACCCTGCTGGGGGTCCCGTGTGCTGTGCTGGGACCCACCGCACCCTGCCGGGTGTCCCGTGTGCTGTGCTGGGACCCACCGCACCCTGCCGGGGGTCCCGTGTGCTGTGCTGGGACCCACCGCACCCTGCCGGGGGTCCCGTGTGCTGCCCCTGGCCCCGCCGCACCCTGCCGGGGGTCCCGTGTGCTGCCCCTGTGAAAGCGTTCCTCTTGCTGTCTCGTTTCCCGGGGACTGGGTCTCTACTGAAATTCTTGTGTTTGAAACCCTTTCCAGGATTCCTCGTGGATAGCTTCCTCCTGGGAGCCCTAGTGGGGACGTGGCAGGTGTTCCGAGTGCCTGGGGAACACCTGCGTCTTCCCTGAAGCTCCGTGTTCCTTAGCCGCCAGCGAGTCCTGTGCCTGCTGGGGGCTCTCCTCTCGGCAGGAGGAGGCTGCAGTGCGGGCCGCGGGAAGCGTAGTGCAGGCGGGCGGCGCGTCTCGGCGAGCTGCGCAGACGGCAGGTCGGTGGTTGGAGTGGGCCGGCTCGTGTGCTGGGTGCCAGTTGTCCTGCTAACGCAGGTGTCTGAATTCATGGAACACACAGTCACTCTGCTTTGTGAGCTCTGCGGGGTGTTCCTCCCGTCAGAGGAGGGTGCTGTCCACCTGGGGTGTGTCCAGCCAGGAGGGCCCTAGTCCCTGTGAAGTAGCAGACCCGGGGGCGGGGGGAGGGGCCCAGGGCGCGTGAGCTGTGTGGCCCCCAGCGGTTAAGGAACTGCCTGTGACTCCGGCACCCCATGTGAGCGCCACTTCAAGGCCCGGCTGCCCCACCTCGCATGCTCCCTACTAATGTCCCTGGGCCCCTGCACCCACGTGGGAGACCCGGATGAAGCTCCAGGCTCTGATTTGGCCGAGCCCTGACCGTTGTGGCCACTTGGGGACTGAACCAGCAGATGGAAGCTTCTCTCTCTCTCTCTCTCTCTAACTCTGCCTTTCAAACAACGACATCTTAAATACCTCAATGGATATATTATAATTGGGTAAGTCATAAGAAGATAATTTTGTGAAAAGAATTTTTTATGATTTGTTTATTTACTGGAAGGAGTTACAGAGAGACGAGAGACAGATCTTCCATATGCTGGCTCACCGCTCAGATGGCTGCACGGCCAGGAGCCAGGAGCTTCCTCCAGTTCACCTGTGTGGGGGCAGGGGTCCAAGCACTTGGGCCACCTGCTGCTGCTGTTCCCAGGCCGTAGCAGGGAGCTGGATCGGAAGAGGAGCAGCCGGGCGGGAACCAGCGGCTATATGGGATGCCGGCGTCGCAGGAGTTGACTCTGCCAGCTGGGCCACAACGCTGACCCCTTCAGGTTTGTTCTAAAGATCAATTTCTATGAAAGAGTGACAGAAATTTCCCCCCACTGGCTCACTCCCTGGTGGCTGCGATAGCTGGGTCTGGGGCAGGCTGAAGCCGGAATCATCAGGTCTCCCCCACAGTGGCGGGGGTGCAGGTACTCGGCCGTCTTCCACTGCCTCCCTAGGCCCGGTCCCAGGAAGTCAGAGTGGGAATGGAGTGGCCAGGACCCAAACAGCGCTCTGATACGGGACGCTGGCGTCACCAGCGTGCCGAGTGCTGGCCTAGCCTGCGGCGCCAGCACGGCTGCCCCACGTGGAGACCCCTGAGCCGTTCAGAGCACATGGTTCCGTGGGGTGGGGTTCGTGTTCCAGCTTTTGCTTGTCCGTTTTCCCCGCACCGTTTGTCGGAGGGACTGTCTCTTCTCTAGGGTGTTTTAGCTCTGCCGAAGAGAAGTTTCTTGTAGATAGGCCCTCACTGCCGGGGTTTCTGTTCTGTCCCATTGGCCTGGGTGGCCCTCTATGCCAGGACCGCTGGTCTGGCCTGACGCCGGGTTCTGTGGTGCCTCCAGCTTGGTTACCGGGCAAGGGAAGGCTGCCTGGGCCGTTTGGGGTCTTCTGTGTCCTATCTGAGCTTTGGGTGTTTTTGTAGTTCTGTGAGCAGCGTCGTTTATATTTTGATGAGAACTGCATTAACTCTGTAAACTGTGTTGGGTAATTTAGGTATTTTATTTATTTTTTTAATGTTTTAAAGAGATTTACTTATTTATTTGAAAGTCTGAGTTACAGAGAGAGATTGATCTTCTCTCCGCTGGCTCATTCCCCATATGACCTCATTGGCCAAAGCCAGGAGCCAGGAGCTTCTTCCAGACCTCCCATGCAGATGGCAGGAGCCCAAGCACTTGGCCCATCCTCTGCTGCTTTCCCAGGTGCATTAGCGGGGAGCTGGGTCAGAAGTGGAGCAGCCGGGCCTCAAACTGGCCTATATTGGATGCCAGTGTCACAAGTGGTGGCATAATCCACCATGCTACAACATCAGCCCCAGTTTGGACATTTTATTTTTTATTTTGAATTATTTTATTTATTTGAATGACAGAGAGAGAGAGGTAGACAGAGAGGTCTTCCATCTGCTGGTTCAGTCCAGAAGTGACCGCAATGGCCAGAGCTGCACTGATCCAAAGCCAGGAGCCAGGAGCTTCCTCCAGGTCTCCCACACGGGTGCAGGGGCCCAAGGACTTGGGCCATCTTCTACTGCTTTCCAG